CAGGATTTTATATTGCAATGAAAAATGAGCCCACGGTGAGTAAAAAATGTGTCTGGAGACAATAAAACGAAACCGCCTGAAGCTCAGAGGGTTAAATATGCGTCTCTGGTCATTGTGTTCGGTGTCCATGAGCTGAGGGGAGCTATGTGTCTCTTTAGCTGGTAAATGTTCACCAACCAGCGGCTAACTCTGTCTGGGTGTCAGTGGGTTTATTCATCACAGCTTTAGTGCTTTTTTTTTTTTCACTAAAAACAGCTGCTTGCTGCATCTGGAAGTGACACTGATGAAGCTGGTGAGAGTGAACTAAACTCAATCACTCCACGGAGCTGAGGGCGACCGCGGAGCCTCTGATAATTATTTGTGGATTTGTCACTGCGAGCGACTCCATTCGCGTATGCATCTTCATTTGATCCGCTGTTAATATAAAAATATTGATTATAGGTGGCTTAGACGGCTCTCCGTAGATGAACATAATCCCAAAATCCCAAATCAATTTGACCAGATCAAGCAAAGGATCGACAAGAATACTTTATTTCTACTCATCTGGGAGTAATAACTAGACCACTACTATTACATCTGAAATGAGAAATAGCAAATGAATTCACCAGTGAGCCCAAACTGTTTCTAAGAGAGGATCAAAAGGTTGGCATGGCTGATATTTGAAGTGCTCCTGAGTCTATTGTGGCTCCGGAGCCAGAGGTTTTTCATTTTTTTCACTCTGTGTGTTTGCAGCCAGCGGAGTTGTGCAGCTGGCTGTATGAGTCCGACAAACAAACACCAGGAGGCCTCAGCTCTCCCCAACCTCCCACTGACAATGGACATTGTTTTGGAAATGGCTTGAGCCAGAAAGACCAATAGAGGAGGCTGGGAGGTGGGAGGATTGGGTGAGAAAAGAGAGAGATCGGGGGAGACATTTTCCCTGCCAGGACCTGCTGTTCGGGCACAATAAGTCCAGGCAGCTGTCTGGGACCTGTAGGGAGGAGGAGGAGGAGGTTGTGTTTTTATGGATGTGCGTGTGTGTGTGTGTGTGTGTGTGTGTGGAGGGGGGGAGTGTATGTGGACATAGAGATAAGGTGGCACTCTGGAAAGGCTTGTGAGAAGACAGAGCATCTGTCAGCCCAGTGATGTTGAGACAGGGCAGAATGACGCACAAGCGCACACAATCAGCAGTAAAACAGGTGCAGGGAGGCAAACGCATTGTAACACACACACACACACACACACACACACACACACACACACACACGCACAGAGAGGCAGAATCCAGCCTGCCATGAGGCCCGATTATGGCAGGGCAAGATGTCGAGGGACCACAGCGACAGAGAAGAAGAGTCGAAAACAGAAGAAGAGAGAATAATAGAGATATAATGGCGAGCATTAGAGCGGCGGGATGAGGGAACAGTGAGGCAGAGAAAGGAAGTCAGCCCAGAGGGAGGCGAAACAGACAACCTTGAGATAATCTGCGGGACGGGCACAGGGAGAAAAATAACCTTATCAGAGCAGGAAAACAGAAGGCACGCCGAGCGGTGAGAGGATATGAAAACACAGAAGGGACGGCAGCGGAAGGCAGCGAATAAAATAAAAAAACACGATAAATGTAAGAGGAAACGTAAGAAGGCTTTAAAAGCTGCAAAAGCAAAGTGGGATAAGTGGTATTCACCAAAACCGATGAGGCCCAGGGTTTCCCCACGGATGCGGGCGGCGCCGGACGCCACCTCCCGGATCTGCTCCACGCTCTGGACCCGCGTGCCCTCCCGGAGAGCCTGGTACAGCCAGGTGTTTCGCCGGTAAAGGTTAAGGATGTGGCACAGGGTGGAGTCCGCCGTCTCCTCCACAGCTGCCGAGGGAATGTTGCACACAGCGATGCCTGGAGAAAGAAAGATGAATATATATCAAAATAATCCTTAGGAGGGTGTTGTGAGCATACAGGTGGCCCTTTTATCCCACTGAATAAAGATACCGACTGGTAGCTCGTTGAACTTGTGGCCACGTCCCCGAACACATATCATCGATTTAGACAGAATTAAGATGTGAGCAAATTTAGGCCAATAAGTGATTCATTGTGAAGCTCCTCCACATGTGAAATCCATTCAAATCAATCAATATTAATCGTTAAACTGATGATTAAAGCCTCCAGAGGAAAAAAGAAGTTAAAAAACATGAAGCTCCAAACTGATTTCCAGTTAGAGTTTTCATAACCAGACAAAGCATCGCATTATCATAATATCATCCACGGAAAGACGTGTAAGGATGCATTAAAACAAGTTTGCTGTCAAGATCTCATCCAGCACAGTGTTCACAATTTTTGTTGCCTTCAGGCACTTTAAACCCCTGAACTTATGGTATTACCTTGCCTCTCCTGCAACAACACACATTTTTTATTTTTTTTCTTTCTGCCTTGCTCTAACACTTAAGCACTCCTGCCTGCCCTCGCTCTCCTCTAATGTCCTCATCCCACTCTGTATCTCCGAGTAGCAGCACAGTTGTCTCTGGACAGCAAAAAATAGCCAGAGCCTGCTCAATCAATGGGGCCTTTTCTTCTCCCCGAGAACAGCCGTCATATCAGCGCCGCCTTCTCCAGGCATGATAGCTTTTGACTCCTGCGTTGCAAGGCAGAGCGCCTTCGGTGAGTGGGTGGCAGTTAGACACAGTATCTCGCATTGGCAGGGAAATGGCAGCTTTGTCAACTGTAAGAGCTGTTTGAGCCACCAGCCTGCTGATATAAGCCTGGGTGGTGGTTCAGAGGGAGAACTGAACTCTTCTCCTCCTGCGCCTCTTTCGCTCTCCGTCCTTCTGAACATTCTGGCTCGCGGTGGGATGTCTACAAATCATCTGACTGTTTAATTCAGCCTCTGATGCAACTCTGAAAATCCATACAGTAAAAACAAGGACGCCGTCTGAAGCCGTTCCCCTCCTTCAGGGGAAAATCTCTATCAACTGTATCTTATTTTGACGCCTAACTGCGTCGTGTCTTTTGGACAATCAGTGCAATTTTTCCGAACGCTATAATGCGGCGATGTGATGATTCATCCCCTCAAGATTCACTTAAATGTGATTACTGGCGCCGGAGGTATTGCATGTCGTTAACAGACAAACGATCAAACAGAAAAATAAGCAGACGGCGCTCCCTATAGGGAGATCGATACGACATGGGATGAGGTACATTTCAAAGCAACACAAAACACATGAGATAAAAAAAAAAACACCCTCATGCATAGAAACGAGCACAATGGAAATCCTGACATGACTTCTCTGCGATAAAACCACGATGCATTCTGGGTATTTTGCTCTGAGAGTTCGTACCAAGCTCTCCGGCCGCCTTGATGTCGATGTTGTCGTAGCCGCTGCCGATGCGGATGATGATGCGTAGAGCTTTAAACTTTTCCAGGTCCTCTCTGGTCAGGGTGATGGTGTGGTACATCATGGCTCCCACCGCCTCATTAAGCACCTGCAGACACACACGTTTGTGAAATTTAGCGTGATAACTCAATAAAATGCCATTTCTCTCCCCGACTCATTAATCTTCCTGTTGCTGATCCTTTTGTCCATTCATTCGTTTGTTGGTTCGTTAGGGGCCGTGCAACGTATGGCTATTAGTCCATTAGGGCACATAAGAACCTATGACAATCACAAGATCGCATTCCTTTCAGAGGAATCATGGAAGTCACATGTCTGGCATGACTCCGGACACTTTAGAGAGCGTTTAAGATTTCACGGCGAGAGGAGCTGCAGACGTCACATGGTCACCAGCAGCCCTGACACGCTGTCCATTTAAAGACCTGCACTGGGAAGGGAAACAAGTCATTATATTGTCTCGCGGGGGCAGCACTTCTGCACGGTCATCACAATCGCACTCAGACCCCGAGGGCGTCTATGGATTCGTCCAATTGACTAGACAGAGAGGTCAAGGCAGCCACTGATCACAGGATAAACCTGGAGGTATGATAGCACAGCGGGTCCAAGGAGTACGAAGTTGTACTCGCTGCACCGAAAACTAACTCACCAGCAGAACTGTCATGATTTCAACTGTCCAGCTGTCCTTGAACGCATCATGTGTGACTGTCGGTTTCACCAAATCTAAGCTTAAAGTTGTGATATTTCTTCAAAATGACTTAGTCAGAAATTTGCCAAATGTGATGCTTTCATACAAACCAGATTCTTCAGAAAAACAACAAACTCTGGACTCCTTGACTCCACCGTGAAGCCCTCAGTGACTCACATTCACGGAGGCTTTTTGGTTTCACTGGGCTGAACTGCAGGCAGTGTTTGCACAGAGCAGATACGAGTCGAGACAAAGTGAGAAACAAACTGAAAATGTAGGTTTTTTCTCCCCTTATTGGGAAAGAAATAATCAAAGAAATTAAACTTTTTTTTCTGTGATTTATGTCATTATAACTCTCTTCCTCCAAAATAAACAATAATTTGAGGTCTTTCTTCTTCTGGCCGTGGTTGTGCTGTTTCCATAGATGTGCAGGACTTTATATTGCAGTGAAAAAGAAGCCTGCGTTGAGTAGAAATTCAACAAAAAACATCATGACGTACCCTGCTATGTGTTTCCTGTTTCTTGCACATTTTCTAACAAGGTGTACCGATGAAGAAGCCCTTCAAAACAAAGTTGTGATTTTAAGCAGCATGAATAGATGTAAATGTATGAGGGAGTTGCAAGTTTCAGATCAGTTTTAATTTTAACTCCTATCCAAATTATGAAATCTGATTTTGAAAAAAAAATGGCTACAGGTTACTTAAAGCATTTTCCAGATCAGCGCCTTATAACTGACCACATGGTGGCGCTGTTGAACATGACTGACCCAACCTTCCTTCTAGTGTCACTAAGATCCATTTTTTTTTGTTTTAGTTTTTAAAGATTTCCCTCCTAACGATCAACCATCTCGTCATAAACTGTACTCAGGTGAAACATTTGCCGACAGAGCCGTGTCGCCCGAGGCCGGCCGTCACCGTGAAACACTGCTCCTCTGCCACTTAACATGGACAAGGTGACCTGGCCTGTGATTCAGCCTGATGCGGATCTAAACTATTTCCCCTCAGTATCAGCCGCAGCCCCTGTCAGCGCCTAAATAACAGCTCCGCGTTCACCTCCAGCCAAACTGCATTAGCTTTCCTGTGATTAGTAGATTAGCTCTGAATTTCCATACTGCTTTTATTAGAGCCGTGTCCTGGACAAGCCTCGCAGATACTAGTTCAAGGTTAAAACGCTCCTTGCACACATACACACTATTTTCTCTCCCTGCGCGCCGTGGCCTGAGGGTCTGGTGTTGTTTTTGAGCCGGAGAAGGAGTCTTCCACTATGACGGGAAATTCGCCCTGAATGTAGTTTATTATAATGGAAACTCTGACCCAAACTATATCCCCCACCCCCCCCTCTTCAGTGTAACCAAAGCTTTATTGCTTTTAGCATCTATCATTTCTTATGATGCCTGGACTCTCCTGACAAGGCGGTCAGGCCTCCCCGTTTGGCCCGGCTGAGCGTGAGAGAGGATTCTGTTGCAGAGTTTTGATTTGCTGATGGATGCACATACTGTACCGATGTATGTGTTTGACTCTGTGGCTTCCCGGGGAGGGATTTTATGGCTATGAAATCATCCCACCAGTGATCGGGTTGGATGCAGCGGCGATGAGAGCTGGCTGTAACGCTGAGAACAGACTTTTTTTTCTTTTTTCCTCAACCTGGAATGAAGGTCGTGTTGCTCAAACTGTTGCTTTAAGGCTGACATAATAATAGCTGTAAACAACACTGAAAAGCAGCGCACCAGAACGTGGAGTTTGCTATAAAGGGGAAGCTATGACCCCCCTTTTTTTTTGACTGCATCTTAAAATACACTTCAGCAGATGCGAGCAAAAGGGAGAAGACGGCATAAAAGAAAAATATTCCTTGTCGTAACGGGGCTAACATGACAAAGTAAAGCTTGAAAAACAAAAACAGCTGTACACTCCAGTGAATGTGGCCTTAAAGGAATATTTTGACACTTTAGAAAGCCCGCTTTCTCACCAAGATTTACACAAAGACATAAACGCTGCTTTTATCACGTACAGTAAAAGGAAGCTACGACTAGCGGCTGGTTAGCTCGGCTTAGAGACAGACAGCGGGAAACAGCGAGCGATGCTCCGTCCACATTTCAACACCCTAAAAACACAGTAATCAACATGTCAACTGAAAAAAAACTGTTTAAATTGATATGTCATATGCTATAGAAGGCTACGGGCGTTGTGAAAAATGGCAGGCTAGCAGTTTCCCTGTTTTCAGTCATTGTGCTAAGCTAAGCTAAGTTAAGCTAAGCTAAGCTAAGCTATAAGGTTGCTGGCATTCACCACACTGACCTGAAATTGCAGCAAGAAAGTATATAAATACTTCAATTAACTTGAACTTATTCTATAATATATGTATTTTTTATAAACTTTCTGTACCCGCAAACAGTTTCTGGGTGTTTTTTTTTGCTTATTTTTATTCACCATGGGCTCATTTTAAACAGCATAAAGTGCTGCACCTCTATGCAAACAGCACAACCATCGCTAGAACTCAAAAATATTATCTGGGCAGTACAAAATTTCACGATGGAAAATGAAAGTTGCAGTTCTTTGATTGTTTATTTCACAAAAATTTGAAAAGCTCTGGTATGAGCATACACAACATTCTTCCAAATGCTCATGGGTGGAAAAAAGAAAAAAAAGATGTTGACTCCACAGGCAGGAGATATTTAACAAATTCTGTTTGTTCCATAATTTGTTTCGGTAATTGTCTCACGTCTTGTCTCATTTTTGTCACCGCTAAATCACTTATGGCTTCATAATTGTGCCGAAGAGAAAATCCTTTTTTATTTTATGATTATTTTTGGTATAAATGAATTAATAAACACAGCTTTTACAGAATTTTTAAACAACACATCTAGACTTTTAATGAAATATCACAATTTTTATTTTCCCACTGGAGCCATAGCTCACATGTGATACGTTGAGGGACCATCGGAAAGTTTAAAACATGCAGATTATTCCTGTTTTTATAGCTGATAAATGGCAGAATTGTGGCTACCTTTTAAAAAATATGTCTCTTAAACACTCTGGTGGATTTTGTGGTTCAGAGATTAATCAATAGAAATTTAATTGACAATTTTGACAATAAGTAGTTAAATATCATTATTATTTGCTGCTTTATATGGTTACACAGTTTGGGATTATTGTCTTGACAAAACAAGCGATTTAAAGATTTTTTTTTACTACATTTTTAAGATTAAACAACGAACAGAACATAAAACCACCCCACCACGTGCTGACATTAGCGGTTATCGCTTGCGGCCCCGGAGCTTCACACCACCGCTGGATGAGCAGAGTCAGGCCGTGTAATAGGCCAATATTGACTCTGTGCCATATGGGCCATCATCCAACTTTTACAATCCACATGCGACTATGAGGTGCAATGGCTGTGACAAAGACGAGGGATCATCGACCTTGGATGATAACGCCGGAGCGGCGCAGGTGCTGCATGCAGGATTTGGCCTCACTGGAGTGCTATTGTAACTCCATCCTGATGAGCATTTGCCTGAATGTTTTATCATGTCTCTATCGCCGCAGAAATAAGGAAGTGACACAACCTCAGGCCTGTTCCATATTCGACCCTTGGCCCAGTCTTTCATGTAAGTTTCTCCATAGTCGGGCGTAGAGGGGGGGGAAGTGTGGCAGCTGGCGTCTGCCCTGACAACATCATACTGAAACTCCCAGAGTTATCAACACTGCATCTCCGCATCCACGCCGCAGAAAGAAGAGATTGGACATTTTCAATCTATACCGCCCCTCTGGGTATCTAGACTGCAAGTTATTACTGTGAACTGCTGAATATGCTGGCGAGGTGCACATTACAATCATGTTTTTCCTGATAAGGCAGTGTTAAAACAAACAAAAAGCCACCCGCTCCCCCCTTCTCCTCACCGCCCAAGGTCTTGATTGAATTGATCTCTATGCAAATGCTTCTTTTTTAATATGTCCCATTTTCATAAAAACAGCGAGGGGAAAGATGTAGCGGCTCTCACTCTGTCTGCAGATGGAGAGATAGCACTCGGGTGATACCCATCTCCGTGGCCATATATTGTTTTGCAGCCACAGCGCTGCATAAAAAGCAATAAAGAGCGTCTACAAGCCAATGTAATTACACTGCATCCGCGCCATACAAGACTCTCTATTAGAACAATGGCACTGATATAGGCATCGCGCTCTGTGCCACAAAGTGACATTAAATCATAATGAAGCCACTATATTTTAACTGGCAAGTGTGCATGGGGCCAATATAATGCGCTTCACATATCAGCGCTGTGATGGAAAAAGAAGGAGGCAGACGGGAGTGAGTGGCAGGTTTCATTTCTTTATCAACTTTCCGCTGCAGACTACAAGTGAAGCAATGCGTGTGTGTGTGTGTGTGTGTGTGTGTGTGTGTGTGTGTGTTTTCTACCTTCTCGTGGATCTCTTGTGTGGACTGGGCGTCGCAGAAGGCGACGGTTGCTAAGTCTTTCAGGATGGGCATCTCCACGGTGCAGTCACGCCCGTCCAGCAGGGCCACCAAGGGGCGCGGGTGCATTGGCCCGTTCATGATTTGGGGCCGAATACCTGGAGAGAAAAAACAAAAAGAGAGGGAGGATTATTTCAGGGACAAGCGATCATTTGTTTTAGTGACTGTCTAGACACATAAGCCTCTCAATGCTCATGTTTTAGAATTTTAGCAAAGTCATCCTTTAGGTTTCTGTTCTTGCTGCATCCACGTGGTGAAGATGTGAGAGATGATCAAGAACAACCGAAGCTAATATTACACAAATGTAAGTACAAATAGACGAGTACACACAGTTACTGCAAAACCACCCACTTTGTGCAGAAGAAAATTTCAAAAGTTCAAGCCAAACATTTAGTGTAACAACTAAGCTACACTTTCCTGCCAGCTGGATTCAATTCATTACTCTTTTCTTGAAGAACAAAAGACTCGGATAATAATTACCTGCTCTGTGTGTGCAGTTGTTTGTGTGTGTGTGTGTGTGTGCATGAGCTGATCAGGATGTAGCGGGAAGCAGAGCTTCTCCGAACTAACAAGCGTTGCTCAATAAATCAATGCACCTACTCAAGACTGGATTAGAACACAGCCTCACTTACAGGAATCCGTTCAGTCGTAAGGCTCCCAAACACAGAGGAACTCTCACATACACTACGCGCTATATGCAAGAGCACACGCACACTTGTTCATACCAGGATTAACATATTCTCTTGCGTGTCGGCATGACAAGTGCGCGCACTCTTTGGATGTTCTCATTTCTCAGTTCAGAAGCGAGGATGCTACATTTGCCTCAATATGAGTGGAAGCAGCAGCTGTGAAACAGACGACGAAAAAATAAAAAGAAGAAGAAGAAGAGAGAAACACTGCAAGCTACACCTTTAGAAATGAGTTTCACTGCTGCCCTGCCTCAAAAGAGCAATCTATCATTGAAATGGAGCGCGTTAGAGAAAACGCTACAAGCCCGAAACAAACCCGCAGCCAGCTCGCATCTGCACTTGACAAAGTGTGTGTCGCAATTTCGGTTGTGTCTCCGCTCGGCTCGCTCTCCCCTTCCCTCTCGCCGCTTTTCTCATTTGAAGCGTGGAGAGCCGAGCTCCCCCGTGGGTCGACCTTCTCACACGTTTCCACTGAAGAAGACGTGTCGCGCTGAGAAGACAGACAATTACCGGCCCCGCTTCATACAATGTTAACAAGTGAGGAGCATCAATATTCATGCTGCTTCTGAGCGGCGTGTAGCTTCAGGAGCCAGCCGGAGGACGGATGGACCTGAGGAGGTTCCCCGCCGAGCACCAGCACCCCAACACTGCGCGGGGTCATGATCCTCGCTCATAGACAGCAGCTCTGGATGTGTCTAAGCTGACAAAACATGCGAGAAGTCAAGCCAGACAAGATGTACAACAGCGAGATCCCCCGTGGATGTTGCTGTGCGATTTTCATGACATCACCTTTTCTTATCTGGTGTTTTTCTGCTCTCCGTTGGCTCGGCTGCCGAGATCTGTATCTGGACGCTTACGCGTGACCTCACTCCGTCAGAGTTAGCCAGAAGATTACAGTGACGTCATGGTGGCGATAAGGAGAGAAAGAAAGAAAGGGAAAGGAGAGGAGAGGTGAGGTGGAGGAGGAGGGCTCATTAGGGACGTGCTCTTCGGGATTACAGCAGCGGAGGAGGCCGATTAAGGCAGATAAAGGTGAGATTAGGAGATTTAAGGGTGGGAGAGTTGTGTGTGGCCACGATAAAAAAAATTTAAAAAGGCGGGAAAACAAACAGGTGGGAAGGGGGGATGGAGGGGAGGGAAAAAAGTGAGAATTTAAATGTAAAACGCATAAAAACAGACTAAACACTGCCTGTTAGCCTAAAGAGCTCCCAGGAGACGTATCAGAGAAGAAGAAGAGGATGAAAGACGACGGTAGAGGCGGAGAGAGAAGCCCCGGCTGACGGAAAGCGAGCAGTCCAGCAGTGCAGCCTCTTAGGGCAGGAGGTGGGGAGGGGGATGCATCGCCGCGGAGGTGTCGTCTCCCTGTGCCTTCCGCCTGTTGTCATGGTGATCACTTAACAGGCTTTGACTGCCAGTTTTAATGCACTTTATTTTTGGCACCGCTGGCATCTGCGCCCGAGAGTTGAGGTCGGAGGCGCAAAAAAAAAAAAAAAACGTCCACATCCCCCCTCGCTGTGTGCGGCGCTGAGGGGCGGAGGGGATGTTTTCTCTCTTGACACGCAGACAGCCGCCTCACCTCCCTCCCATCCATCCCCCCTCCTCACCCACCAGCCCGACCATCAACCGCCATTATGGCTTCCTACCCACTTATCACGCTCCCTGTTCCAGACAGGTGACGTGACAGCGGGAAAAAGGTGAGGCGTGGCGACTCGGCTGCCTGTGGCACGTCTGCGAGTGACAGCTCGTTGAATATTAATGGAGACACCTGGTAAAGACTGGACAGCAGCGGCCGAGCAGCGGACTGGTGAGGGCGTCCGTTTGGCGTCTGGCCGCACCAGAAACACGGCACACGGCACGGTCAGTGGGTCAAAGGGAACAAAAATGGCAAAAAGAAATGTACTGACTCAAACTTAGGAATGATTAACTGATTAGCTGTCGAGTATGAAATCAATCACTGAGTATTCTGATCATCGATTTCATCAGAAAAGTGATACCGTTTATCTGATTTGGAATTTAAAAATGTGCATCTCGACAGTTTTTCCCTCATAATTTTAACATTTCTTTGATTTGAGCTGATTAGATTGAGGCTCTTTTTGTGGATTGTGTAGCTAAAGATCCACAAGTGGGATGTTTGTCATCTTACGTTGCACTATTTCGTAAAAAATCCTCAGATTCCAGCTTTTTTTATTTGAATATTTCCATTTTTTTTTAAAACTCCCCTACGACAGTAAACTGAACAGCGTCATGGACAAATCGAGACCTTCGAGGATCCTGGGCTTCGGCAAACACCAATCAACATTATTCAACAGTTTATCGACCGAAAAGCGAGTAAATTAATTGAGAAAATAATCAACACGTTGAAGCTAATTGCTAGTCGGAGGTGTCTTTAGGTTCTCAAACCACAGAAGAGCACGTCGAAGCTGTGACTTGGGGCAATGAGCCTTTCCCCACTTCTTCTGACTCATCAGTGGCTAAACAATTAACCCCTTAATTGCGAGAGTAATTCATTAACTCCACCCCCACAGTGTATATCAGCTGGACATGTGGATTTGCATGAGGTGACACAATGCAGCTCGAAGTTGCATCCGACCACGAGAAGACAGAAAGACACCCTGAACAAGCTGATGGACACAGTTCGGATTAAAAGTTGTGTGAAGATGAAAACAACGGGACAAAAAACCCCTCTAACAGCAGGTGTTGCTCAGCTGATTGATCCCAGCTCTACAACCTTTGTACACAATCATGTGATTCAAAGGTAATAATTCCAAAAATATTGACTGAGGGCTCTCGGAAAAAGAGCCACAGCACCCATCGCCCTCTCCACCACGCCTCATCTAACCGGCGGATGCTTGTATCTAACGATTACAGACAGCAGTGGGTGTGCAGGTGAGAGATGCTGTGGATGAAGCAGGAGGGGAGAAGAGCGGTTGGCAGGCTGCGTCAAACCCTCCGGCACAAGTTAGATAGGCTGAACTTCATGAATCATCCACCGGGTTTCTCTGTCTCTCTCTGACCTTTCAGTCTCTTTAAATCTCCCCTCCACCACCACCACCACCACCACCACCGCCACCACCACCACCTCCTCGCACATTCCTTCCTGTTACATTTCATAGTACCGTCTGCAGAGTTGTATTTCCGCGGATCTCTCGCCGCGCGATACCATCTCCTGACAGCTCCCTCTTTTGCGCCGTCGTCTAAGCTCAGTGTGTCCGTTTGCTCGCTGCATATCTGATTCCCTTTATCTCCCCTTTCACGTGCACCTCCTCCCGACCTCTGCTATCGTTCCTCGGCTGTCTTTTTCACCGATCACCCTCCCCATCCCCTGGCTGTCGTTCCCTCCACCTCAGCTGTCACTCCTGCTCTCCCGTTTCTATCATTCCCCCCCTTCTATCCCCGTCGCTCTGTCTTCCCATAAGCCGGAGCGTGTATTTGTGCGTGCGTGTCCTCCTGTGTGACAGATTGATTCTCACTCCGCTGATTTTGATGGAGAGGAGATGATGTATTCGGGCAGAAGAGGGGGGAAAGCAGGGAGGTGACAGGCAACACTCCCCTCGTGGTAAACTGACAGCGTGTACATCAAACCAGTCTCAACCAGAACCATTGGGTCTGTCAGCGGCACAATACCACCGCGCCCGTTCCTGATGCGCTCATGACACCCTTATCAGCACCTTTTCCCGCTCGGCGCTGACAGCACGTCTGTGGTTTGTGCATCTAGAATAAAGTATGTCATTATGCAGGATAGAAATTTTAAGGTGTTTGGATGTGCTGCACGACTGGGAGCGATTTGCATTTAGGTCCAATTTGAGCTCATAAATTGGGGCTGAAAATTTCTAACCGATAATGAAAAAACGAGACCAATCTGATCTGCTGCGTTTCATTGTAAATCAGGTGAAGTGTATTAATTCTAATTCCTTTAAACCAATTATACAGGGTTGTTTAAATCGGCTCAGCAGCTGTAGTCAACTGCACAGGAAGTTAAGACGATTCGTTTTCTACAGCGTCCTACAGCGCCGAAACTCTTAATCCAAAGTTGCTCTCTGTATATTTTTGAACATCATTACACCAGGAAACCTGGTTGCATAATGCAAGATATTTCTTTTCTGCGACAAAGACGCATGCATCCATCATAGAAAACTAGAAGTTGCCACGACCTACGAAGTCTCGGAAAGTCTACGAAAACTTTGCTTCACAACCCTGTAACCTATATAATCTTATTAAATCTGGATCTGATTTTCTTTTACCTACAAATTGTGGATGAAAAAGCAAAGCGTTCCAACAATAATTCACGAAGCAGTCAGCACATTTTCTCCACGTTCACCTGTCAGTTGGGATTTAAGTCATCGGACGGTTACGATCTCGCCGAGACGGAGATCCGTGGAAACAGATTTTAACCTCCACGCTGACAAGCC